TGCCATGGAAGATTATCTGGTTCCACCTGATTAGTACTCTAAGCATTTGGTGTGAGTAATGGGCAGAACAATTACATTCTTTTCCACTAGAGGGCAGTAAAAGTATATACTCTAATTAAACGGGTTGCCAACTGCCAGTAAAACAGAAGATGACAAAGAAGGAATTACATGATGGTCATGCTGTGAAACGACCAGCGCATAGTAGCAATAGATAAATATTTGAAAAGAAAAGCAGTCAATCTATCCTGGCTCCTGGAGAAAATTCCAATCCAGATGAAGGCCCTAGCATGAGTAGTGAAGAAGAAAGCAAAAAAGGTATATTGGGGACAAACTGAGCCAATTCTGCTATTCATGGTACACAGGGAAATATTATCAATATGCTTTTCGTGACGTTTTTGTTTGGTGGTGTGCCGTGCGATGTTTCCAATGTCAAATATGTGCGTGGCTCGAAAAGGTTGGGAAATATTGATATAAAGTATCCTGGTTACAGTTTTTCTGCACATGTTTTGCACAGGTAACAAAAATCGTGGCTGTCACCTTTACTTGACTGAAGGTCACAGTTTGCTATTGCAGAGTATATTTACTGTCTTTGCTGAAGCTGCTTTGTGGGGAGTTGTAAAATGGGGTGCAGAATAAATCAGATTTTTTTTCAGTGAGCATTTGTTAAACAGATTACTGACGATCTCAGAAGGTATTTCAAACATATTCTACACTTTATATCTACCTTAAGCTTGAATCCAGCAACCCAGATCACTATGGAGTTTCCTGTGATGCCAAGCACAACAGTGAGCGTGTACAGGATGATGCTGACATTGACCAAGCCAGCACTCACCACCTTAGTTTCCTGGTCATCCTTAGAAAAGGTGAGTATGTGCGTGGGAAGAGAGGCATTGGGAAACATTGTGTGGCTGAAAACGACAGAACAGAAAAAAAACCAGTTACTCAGCATGTCTCTCATGACTTAACAGGAAGCACCCAGCAGTTTTTGTGACTTTTTGCATTTTAAAGATGGGTTAAGTTCCAATTTTACAGTCAGAAACATAGAACCAACTTAACTGGAGGCAAAGTTTTCTTGTATGCCTAGTTTATGTTTTATTGTGTTAATTTCCCCTTCTTTCTCTATCATCCCTGTGTTTCCTGTGAGAGTCTGTCTTGTCCTTTGTTTATGTGTCCGCAGTCATGTTTGTGCCTTACTTCACATCTCTTGCCCCCTCCCTCTGTATCTCGTCTCCCTTTTCTGTTCCCATCCTTGTGTTTCACACCATGGTAAATTGACTGATTCTCATATAGCGCTTTTCTACTCTCCCGGAGTACTCAAAGCGCTGTATACAACATGCCTCATTCACACCCACTCATACGAGCACTTCTAAACTCAAGTGCAAACTAATCTACATTCACACACATTCACACTCTGATGAATGCATCAGAGGGCAACTTGGGGTTAGTATCTTGCCCAAGGATATTTGGCATGCAGACTGGGGAAGCCAAGGATCAAACCACCAACCTTCCAATCAGTAGCTGATCTGCTCTACCACCTGAGCCACAGCCACCCACTACCATGTCTCTCCTGTCTGTCATGTGCATCCATGTGTTTTCTCCCCAGCCCATCTTGTTCTCTCACCCTCTCCATCTTCTCAGTCTGTTTGTCCTCATGTTTGTTCTCCCCCAGGTCCCAGTGTCAAACCTGTGTGTTTTAGTCTTCCTCCCAGTATATTACCTGTTTTATTTTGACAGTCTTTCATCCCGTGTTCAGTGTGTTCTGTGTTACTTTGCGATGTCATTATGTCTACTGTCCCAGCTGCGCTCCCATGTGTTCCCTCGTCACCCTCAAGTTTATATATTGTGCGAGTTTCCCTGTGTTTGTCCGGCACAGTTTTCTATGTGTCTCCATGCCTCCAAGTATTTCAGGTTCCATGCATTTAGTTCTTCCCGGTTTAAGTTTTTATGTTAGTTCTCATCTAGCTGGTTTCCTCATTTCATTTATGTTTCTCATCAGCCACAATAAAGGCTCACTTTTTGCTAAGTTCAGTCCCACCTTCGTTGTCTGCATTC